TAAAAATGGATTCCACTACGTAAATGAATTACAAACAGATTATATTGAATAACAAGATTCAATAACTGAAAATCTATACATTAAAGCCAAATTTAATATTGTCGTTGCAGAAAACGAATAACTTTCAGATACTGCATTTCTAGTTCTAAATCTCAAGGGGAAGCACATATTTTAGATTTTGGAAGTTTCTGAGATTTTAAAAATAGCAATTGAAAATATAATAATAGTATTAATATGATAAATATTTAAGATAAAATTAGTATATCAAAAATTAAGTTACATGTATTTAAGAAAATAAAGTAATTTTAATAATTACTTTTTTACGTGTTAATTTTGAACTAATTTGTTTTTACGAGATTAGTTTAATTAATGTTGCATATCTTTGTTCAGATATTTTCTGCAATGAAAATTTTTTATGTTTGGTATTTTTTATAGCCAAAGATATAACACTTGACCAATAGTAGCTTTCTTTTCAATTGAAAAAATGTAGCCATAATATATTTATAATAAAATAATGTATCTTAGTGAATGTGCAATAAACAAATTTATTAAAATTTGATTGATAACTTATATACAATGTATGTACATGTGGTAAAAATCATGGAAATGGACAACAAAATTTGTTTATAGGTATTTGGAGCTGCACATTAAAGTATTGTTCACCTGTAAAACATTAAAGTATTTGCGAACATTAAGTGTGAATTTTTATGAACCATTCAACTCTAAATTGAATGGTTATATGAGTTCTACCACTACATCTAGTGCAGTTGACAAAATTATGTTTTTGTGAGAAAAATTGGGCATGATTATCTTAAGAAAATATACAATCAGCTCTATATCAGGGTAAAACTTACAATAAAAACTGTAAAAATTGCATTTTCTTTATAAGTTTTTCGACTTATGTGCAATTGACATATTAAAAAATTGAAATAATAATTAAAATGTGCATCCTTGTTTTAATTTCCTCAAACATTTTAATAACTTCCTTGAATGGTAGATAGACGCGGAAGTAAGTAAAAATATAATATAACGCAATTGAAAATAAAAATAATAACAATAAGTATATATAGAAAAAGGGGGTATAAAACGGAACATAATGTTTTCCATGAATACCTGTTATTGTTAATTTGCATGACCATTTTGATGTGCCTTCAACGGTCGCACATTCGGCTTGTTCTAATGAATCTATGTGTGTATCTGGATCCACACCAAATGTCATCCTTTAAAAAATAAGAGCAATAGTAGATCACTTTTTTCTAATTTCATTGGAATCTTTAAAAATAAATTCGTGAAAGAACCATATAAATTAAGAAAAATGGCGCAGTTTTTAAATGATTTTAATATCTCCGTTATATTATTTCATCTACAGCTGACTTAGATCCTAAAGTCATACAAAACTTATCTTGAAAAATGAAACGAACATCAAATCTATACGTCATAAAAAAGAGTGGGAAGTGTCGGCCATATATGTATATGTATCAATTTGTTAATCGTTATAAGTGTTTGCTAAATTTATTAGCAACTGTATTGAATTTATTCAATTAAATATTTTTTTTTGATATTTTTTTACTTTTATACATGTATTTGATAAATCTTAAAAAATATATAAGTATTTACTCAATATTAAACACTTACTATTAGTACACAGCAAACTGTACTTAATTTTGTCAGTGTATGTATATACATTCATGCTTACATACAAATTGTATACAAAATAACACACATACATACACACAACGAGTAACGAAGAACATATGTCTAAGAAGCATTCTTAAACACGCACACTTACATACCCAAAATGTACATATATTTAATGAAACAAGCTCCATATAGTAAAATATTACGTACATAAATTAAATAAACAATTTTACAAATTATTGTGTGAATAGAATTATTTAACTAAGTAAATATTTTATTGTATATTTAGATTTGTAATCAAACCTGTTATTGCTATTTTCGCCGACCATTTGCTTGTACCATCCAGAACGCTTTGCTTTACGGCCTTCATATGCCCAGTATGACTTTTGTCTTCAATGCTGAATACCGCTCTGAACATTATTTTATAACATTTATTTAATTTATTTTTTATATATGGTATTTTGTTTTATTATAAATATATTTAAAATTCTCTGCATATCCTTTGTATTTATTCTTAAATTCATGTTATTGGGTTAATTGAACAGTTGAGCTTAGCTTAAACGAAACTATGTAAATAGCCTAAGAGTTTATTTATCTATATATATCTATAAAATAATTTGATCTGACTTCTGCCAGCACAAGGCTTTGACAATCAACAAACAAAAAATTTCGGTATCATAATATCGAAATAGAACAGTTACTGTATTATTATGCCTAAGTATATATACATATCTCCTATATTTATCCCATAATAGTCCATTGATTTTATAATATGCAATAGAATCAAAGTAATGCGCTTCGTAGTTATATGAATAGGTATTTCCTTGATTTTTTTGTGCAAAGTTCATAAGGTACTCGGAACAAATTTCATTAGTTTAAAATCAAATGAAATTGTTAATATATATTAAAAACATAATTGAACAAAATAAAATAAATATAACTTTCATTAAGAATTCTAGTTTTTCCTACTTACCTTATAAGTTCAAAAATTTCCGGTTTCTCCCTCTCTCGCTGTTTCATTCGGTCCTTCATGGCTGTTATAATTGAATTGGCTTTATCCTCTGCTCCGTGCTTTGAACTTTTTTCTGCAGCCCCTAAATATATCAAAAAAATTAATCAGAAATTGTTTATCTGTGAAGGTACGTCAAAACTTGGACAGTTTTAATATATACATACTTATAGAATACATACACACCAATATATAAAAATGTATATATAATTTTTTTTTCAATATTGTTTTTTAATATTCTTTATTCAACACAATCTTGACATACGCGCTGTCGTTGATCGGTTTTGAGACAAACAAAATTTTTAATTTTAATATTAATTTTAATTTAGATTAAAAATCAAATCCACTTATCACTTCTGCCTGTACTTCGTAGCGTGTGTAAGATACTTCTGCAAATGTGTCCAAACCATTTAGAATATTAAGAATATCTATTTTAGAAAGTACATCTTAACTTCTTAAGTATTGAATTCAATTTACACAATTTACACAAAGACTGTATGTATTTAGTTCCATCAAGTGAAATCGAGCCTTAATATCATCAGCATATATTAAAATTGTTAAATAATTTTTAATTCTTCTATAGCGTCTTTATCACATATAAATTAATTTCTCATCTATTTTTAATTCTTCTATAGCGTCTTTATCACATATAAATTAATTTCTCTCATCCATTTTAATATTTCAGAAAGATCAAAAACTATCATCCTGGTCTAAAAAGCTGATTTAGTCTCAAATAAAACAAATCAAATAAAATCATATATATCTCTGTTGCAGTGGCGACGCGTGCCCTATCTGGAAGGATGTGCGGCCCTTCTACAATGCTGTTTTTACATTTACCACTTAAATTAAAAATGATAAATTGAAATATATAAGATGTTTTATTAATAATAACTATATTACATTAGGCAATAATATATTTACAATATAATATTTACAATTTCATTAACAAAATAACATATTAAATAAATTAAATTAATAAAATATATATATAAGTTGAATATTATATCAATCTGGAATAAACACAACTTTACACATACTTCTTATAACATCGAAACAACTTTTTTCAAACAAAAGAGTTTGTACTTAGAACCATACATGTTTATGTAGTGATAAAACAAAATCGAAATCACTTGCAGCCTATAACTGTGCGGTCAGCTACTCCGCACACAAAGCGACTATTATTCGCTGGAGCAACAGCTAAAAGGGGAGAGACGAAATTTGAAAGAAATGTATGGTGAACTGCAAACTTTAGCCGCACATCTAACCGCTTCGGCAAGTCAACATGTTGAATTGTTATACATTCAACACTTATACACTTATGACAGAAATTTATGAATGCAATTGCGTAAAGGGGAAAGACGAAATATGATAGAAATGTTTCGCGATGTGAGCTGCAAACTTATGAGCACAACTAACGACTATAACATGGTAGCTAAGAGAAGCAAATTAATTGAGTTTTCATAGACAATTATATTTAATTGTTTTTGCTAAAACTTTAATCTTTAAAAATATATATAT